TTTACCGCAGAGCATCCTCAATCCCACGAGACAAACAGCATGGAGCTGGCTCAGGCTTAGCCTCTCCGGCGGGGATTTATTACCACGGCATTAGCTCTCGTTTCCCGTCTCTGTTACCGCTGAGCCGTGTGGCTGTGCAGCTCCAAACTAAGGCCCGGTGCTGCCGGCCCCGCAAAAAAAAAGCTGCTGCGCTCCTGCACCCAACGGCCTGAAACACATCCCATGGGAGCAGGGAGCAAGCGGCATCGGGGGAGAGGAGGCTCTGGGAGCGTGCAAGGGGGATGAGAGGAGGAGCCAGACCTGGACTTAAAGGGTCAGGAAGGGGAGACTGAACTTGTGCATCCCCTCTTCCAGTCTGGGTTGGGTTTGGGGGAGGTATGGAGGGGGTAAGGCAGCAAGGAGGGGATGTGGGAGGAGCAGTGGAGGCTTTGGATGGGGATGTAAGAGCATCGCCACTGACTGAGCGAGTCCCTCCGACAGCAATCGGCCGAGCGCTGTGTCAGCACCCTGCTCGACCTCATCCAGACCAAAGTCAACTACGTGGTGCAGGAGGCCATCGTCGTCATCAAGGACATCTTCCGCAAGTACCCCAACAAGTGCGTGGTGGCTGCCCGTGAGCCCTGGGGCCTCGGGCGGATGCTCCTGGTCCTAGACGGGCTCTTTCTGCCCCTCTGTGCTTGAGGGGGCCCTGCAAGGACCCAGGTGTGGGTGGGGGATGGGCTGCTGCACCCTCCTGGTGGGATGTGGTTGGTGTGAAGTCACTTGGAACCTCCCTGCAGTGAAGGTGGCTTTGGGTTTTTTGCTGCTTGAGGTTGCGATCACCGGTCAGTGCTGCCCCAAGAGTTAATCTGGGGGCAGGAAAGCCATCCCCAGCCCCAGGGACATCCCCAGCCCCACGGTGGCAGTCCCAGATCTGGGGACCCAAATGGACTGGAGCTGTGAGAGACTTTGAGGCTCCTCATGTCAGCGTAAACAGTCTCTGGCTCTTAATTCAGCACTTCTGATGCTGGAGCGAGGGCGGCAGGAGGAGAGGGGAGTGTTCCGGCTGAGCTGGGATGAACAGGCGACTGCCTGATCAGGAAGTCATTACTAATAGTGGTAATAAATACTAATGAACTGAATTAGTAATGGACCAATGTGCCCGAATAGCCAGCGACTCAGGGCTGCTGCAGAGAGGACAGGGACCAGATGAGCAGGGCTGAGAAGTTAATTCAGCAGCGGGGCTGGTGAGCACAGGAACATGTGCTGGGGCCAGAGAGGGATCGGCGCGGGCAGTGTCACGCCATGGCTCTGGGGAGAGGGGACAGCCCCAGACAGTTGGCAGGGGCTCTTGCCGGTGCCCTTGGCAATGTCCTGGTTCTGCTGAGGGTGATGGGATGTGGTGTGGAGTTAGAGCGGAGCTGGGAGTTGGGTTTCTTGCTTTTGGTGAACACGCGTCCTCTCCTCGGGAAGGTACGAGAGCGTGATTGCCACCCTCTGCGAGAACCTCGACTCCCTGGATGAGCCCGAGGCCCGGGCTGCCATGATCTGGATCGTGGGAGAGTACGCCGAGCGGATCGACAACGCCGACGAGCTGCTGGAGAGCTTCCTGGAGGGCTTCCACGATGAGAGCACCCAGGTGCGGTGGGACGGGGGGACAGCCCCCCATGCAATACTGGGGTCTGGCTGCCAGCAGGACCAGCTGGTTGAGGGGTGACACTGACAAAGCTTGGGCTAGTCAGAGCGTAACGAAGCACTTTGCTTTAGCAGGGTTGTGAAGGTGTTTTTCTTGCGGGTGGTCAGGGCAGTGGTGTCCCACAGCAGCTTTGGGTGTGGAATGTGGCCCATGAAATGCCACCATGGTGGTGTCCCAAGCACCTTCTTTCCTAAATAGTTGGGAAGGACCAACTGGTCATTCCTCTGTGCCAGGGCAGGAGGAGTTGGAAAATGGAATCAGACAGCTGAAATGAGCAGAGGGACATGTTTTCCCCTTCTGCTGGGGCAGCTGAGGCCAGTAGTTTTGCCTGTGGAAATTTTTGGGGAGTTTCCATCTATGGAAACTTCCTGCAACCTCTTATGCAAAACACAATGGAACTAAGTCATGGTGAACAGCGGAAAGTCTCTAAATGCAAAACAGCAAAGTCATCAATCCTGACCACCCTGTCTTGGGTCTAAAGGGACTGTCGGAGCAGAATCGCTGCTGCTTATCCTCGGAAAAGCCAGAGGATGCTCTGGCCTTCGCCCTTGTGAGACTGTGTAACCCAGTCCCAAGATCTTGCCCAGTGACCTCTGTGTCAGCCTGTGGCTCTGACGGGCTGAGGGTGTGGGAATCGGCTTGAACCTGGCTGGGAGCCACGCAGGGTGCCCTGGCACTTGTCACCGCGTGTTTGGTCCCTTAAAAGGCAGGTTGGGGTTATGTCCCAGCAGCACATAAGGGAAAAATTCACGTCTTCTTGCACAACAGTGGTGTGAGCTGCCTGTCCCCTCGACCCGATTGTCTGCCCGCAGGTTCAGCTGCAGCTGCTGACGGCCATCGTGAAGCTGTTTCTGAAGAAGCCCACTGAGACGCAGGAGCTGGTGCAGCAGGTGCTGAGCCTGGCCACGCAGGTGGGTAACGGCTTGGTAACACAGTGCCTGTGATAGGAGGCAGATGATTCTGGAAAAGCTGATAGTCAAAGTCCTGGAGAGCGCGGACACCGTCCCCCATAGCACAGGAGGCATCTCGTGCTGTTTCCCTGCCAAGGCTGGTGTGGCAGAGCAGTGTGGCCTCTGTACGGCGGAGGTGTGACATAAATAGCTTTAATTTTTATCCCGGTGATCCCTCTAATACTACAGCAAGACTCAGATGGGGCCAAGACGCCCCGAGTTGCTCTGTAGTAGCTGAAGCTTCGCCTGCCCGACGGCTTCGGCACTAACCCCCGTGCTTCCCGAAGGACTCCGACAACCCCGACCTGCGGGACCGTGGCTACATCTACTGGCGCCTGCTCTCCACCGACCCCGTGGCCGCC